CGCATAGTAGAACTGCAGCGCCGGCCCGCGGATCGTCAGGGCGAGCTTGACCTTGCCCGCATCCGGCAGCGGCACGGGGTCCACGAACGGCTCCGTGAGGTTGCCGTCGGGCCACGACGCCTCGGAGCTCTGGATGAGCAGCTCGCGCTTGCCGTCCGAGTGCGCCGTCACGGTCAGGTAGAAGAAGTTGTAGCGGCAGTAGTAGGCCGTCAGACCGGCGAACTCGCGCTCGTCGGTGGGGGAGAAGGCGACGACGGTCTCGGCGTCGTAGGAGAAGTGCGTCTGCCGCCGGGCGACGAGGGCCTGCTCGAACCAGGAGCCGACGGACTCCCGCCCGATGAGGGTGAGTTTGCCGCCTTCGGTGCGGAATATGCGCTCGGGCTCGGGCGTCCTGAGCCATTGGAAATCCTGCGGAAGGCCGTTCTCGAAGGTGTATTTCTTCTCGGCCCAGTAGGCTGTCTCGTCGGGGGTTCCCGGGACTTCGACGTGCAGCGAGGGTACGGGCCCGTTCTTGACGTACAGCCAGTCGTCGTCTGCCCAGTATGCTTCTTGCAGGGCAGTCTCGCGGCCGAGCACGCAGCGCCGCTTTTGTGTCGTCGGACGGCCGCTGAGGTGGACCATGTACGTCTTGCCCTCGGGGGTGTCGACGATGTCGCCGTGGCCTGCGCGCTGCAGGGCGGCGAAGGGGGCGTCTTTGGAGGTGATGACGTACTTTTGCGGGTGCAGCTCGTACGGGCCCCAGATGTCGCGGGAGCGGGCGAGGGTGCACGCGTGCTCGTAGGCGGTGCCGCCCTCGGCGGTCAGGAGGTAGTACCAGCCGTTGCGCTTGTAGAGATGGGGTCCCTCGACGAGGGCCAGCTCGGTGCCGCGGAAGATGTTCTTCTTGGGCCCGACGAGCTTGCCCTGCTTGGGGTCGAACTCCTGGAGCACGATGCCGGTGAAGGCGTGGGGGCGGCGGCGGTGGTCCCACATCATGTTGACGAACCACTTGCGGCCGTCGTCATCGTGGAAGAGGGACGGGTCGAAGCCGGAGGAGTTGATGTAGTACGGGTCGGACCAGGGGCCCTCGATGGCGGGCGCCGTGACGATGTAGTTGTGCGTGTCTTTGTAGGAGCCGTCCTTGCGCTTGACGTCGGTGTAGACGAGCCAGAACTTGTCGCCGTCGTGGGAGAGGCACGGCGCCCAGACGCCGCAGCTATCTGGGTCGCCGCGCATGTCGAGCTGGGATTTCCTGGTCAGGGGGCGCGTGGCGAGCGTCCAGTTTGCGAGGTCTTTGGAGTGGTGAATCTGCACGCCGGGGAACCACTCGAAGGTTGACGTCGCGATGTAGTAGTCGTCTCCGACCCTCACGATGGAGGGGTCCGGGTTGAAGCCGGGGAGGATGGGATTCCGTACGGTAGGCATCTTCTGGGTGGTGTAAATGATCAGCTACTATGAGAAAGGAAGAGAGGCAACGCTGAATGTAGGAACAAGACGACCAGAGTCAACCTTTATCGTGTTGTTGCTCTCTGCTAAATCCATTGAAGACTGAGGTGCCATCCCCACGCCTCCACAAGTTGCATTTAGCCGGCTTGGGGTGATTCGTGAGAATGTCGGCCGAGGGCCTCCACCTCCATGGATGCAGTTGGGGGCTTGGGATTTACCCCGCATGGAGTGAGGGGAAAGCAAGTTGGAGAAGTCGATGCTGCATGCTTCTTCTCCACAGATAATTCAGGAGGCGTGCGGAGTTCGTTCTTCACGCATACAACGTCGAGTTTCATCTTCCAATTATCACGGCAACTTTTTGAAACGCGCCTTACGGTGTTTTATTACTGTCACTGCCGATTCGGAAACGTGCGAGGCTCAGAGGCCACCAGCCATGGTACAGACAGATCGAGGCCATGTGTGGCAGTTCACGATTCTAGAGAGAACATCCTATTACTTGGATATGGGCTTGAAGAAATGTTTCGATTTGCTAATCTGGCACAGGCCTTCCTAACCTGGCGGTCTAGTGTTTCGGTTTACTATTTCCCATTTTGACGCTACACATCCCATCACAGCACAATGCCCACTTAAGGCAGGGGAATGGCCTGCTTGTGGTTGGTGAACAGACCCTCGGGGTCAACGGCGGCCTTGATCTGCTTGAGGCGGTCAAAGTTGGCGCCGTAGAGACGCGCGCTCCACTCGGCCTCGGTGAGCTCCGTGTCGGCGTAGTTGACGAAGCCCCTCAGCTCCTGGCCGCCGGCAACAAGCGCGTCCTCGAAGGGCTTGATGAGGCCCTTCATGTAGGTGGTGCCGTCGGCGGGGTACGGGGCGTTGGCGTCGGCCGAGTTGGCCTCCCAGCGGATGAGCCAGAGGTTCTTGCCGTGCGCGTAGGCCGTGTCGGCGTCGGCGATGTCGCGCGAGACGCCGCCCCAGAGGTCGAGGAAGCCGGACTTGCGTAGGTCGGTGCGGTTGAAGGCCAGCGTCGTGCTCTCGAAGAGGATCTTGGCCTGCTCGACGGTCAGGGGGTGGTCGGTGGTGGTGGTCAGCGCCTGGGTGTAGAAGGAGCGGCCGCCGAGGGTGCCGCCCTCGGGCTGGTTCATGCCGGCGCCGGCGACGGCGACCTCCATGTCCCAGAAGGGGAGTTCGGTCTTCTTGACGACGGTGGCGTTGGGGGCGAGGGCGTTGAGGGAGGAGACAAGGGGCGCAATGACGTCGTCGAACTTGGCCGGGTCGCCGTAGAAGTAGCCGGTGCCCGAATACGGAGGTGCGCTCAGGCTCCAGCGGAGGGCGAGCTCATCGGGGCAGTCCTTGCTGAGGGAGTAGTCCTGGATGGCGACGAGGGCCTTGGCCGCGGTGTCGACGTCGACGCTGCCGATGGAGAGGGTGAAGTTGACGGCGGTGGGGAACAGGGGCGCATGGGTGTTGGTGGTGACGGAGAGGATGATGCCGTAGGAGGCGCCGGCGCCCTGCGCAGCCCAGAAGAGGTCGGAGCCCTTGGCGGCGTTGACGACGGTGCCGTTATACAGCATGTACTCGATAGACTCGAGGTTGTCCATCGGGGTGCCGAGGTGGCGCGAGGACGAGCCGTAGCCGCCGCCGATGCTGGAGCCGGCGAGACCGACGTGGGCGCCGCGGACGTGGGGGAAGTGGCGGCCGGCGGTGTCCCAGGTGTACTTCAGGACGGGGCCGACGTGGGAGCCGCCGCCGTAGGTGACGCGCTTGGTGGCCTCGTCGTACGAGACGGAGTTGAAGGCGGCCATGCTGATGACCAAGCTGCCCGGGTCGCCGAAGCCGTAGGCCTGGAAGGAGTGGTGCGCTCCGAGGGCGGTGGCTTTGGCGGAGGCATTGCGCGCGCAGTCGAGAGACAGGGCGATCTGGTCCTTGTTCTCGGGGAAGGAGATGGCGGCCGGGTCGACCTTGATGCGCTTCTGGAAGCCGACGGTCTCGTCGGCCCAGGTGGCGTCGGTGCTGATGATGTTACGGACACCGGCAGTCTTCAGACACGCCTGCAGAGCGACGCCCTTGGCGGCAGTGTCCTGGGCACTGGCCAGAGAGGGAGCGAGGAAAAGGAGCGAAGCGACGACGAAGCGTCCAAAAGAGCGTGGAGAATCCATGGCTGTGGTATGTACAGACGGTACAGCCCGGTGATAAGAAACGAATGTAATGGTTTACGATGGGATATCGAGCTGTAAGGCTTGAGGGCAGAGCGAACAGACTCAATGGGGCTCTGTGACTACGAAGGGGTTCATCTTATACTGATGGGGGATATATGGATCTGACCCATAAGGGGTCTGTTCGGATGGGCAGAAATCCCAGAAAACAGCTTCGGTTTTTCGGTAGAGTCGGGCGCCTCTCTGCTCGATATCCGTCAGAAAGGCTAATATGTGACGGATGTCTCTGCTACCAGGGCCATCCATCTTGGCGGAGCCCCCCACGACCCCCCGTCATAATGAACAGATTTGCATGTCCAACGCCCCAGGGCCAAGTTTAGACAAATGCCTGTTTAATCATATCAATCAACCTGGTTCGTCGTAGGGCTTGGCGCTCACCTGCTCAGCCTCTTGACCTACTCAATCTGTAAAACCTTGTCCGGGTGATTCGCCCTATGAAGCAGGCAAACCCCTGCCTCGAAGCTCCCGCCCCGGCGCCGTCGTTCTGGAACCGGAGTCCGTCCCCCTTTTCGGCGGTACCGATGCCCCCGGCGGCCGTTTTTTAAGGTTTACATTAGTATGCTCATTGGGGCGCAAAAAGGCGCAATAAGGTGTTCTTCGTTCGGAATAAGGGGCCCATGGAGGGCAGCAGAAACGCGTCTCGGCCCCCACCCAGGGAGAACTTGCTGCGAGTGCGAAGAAATAGAAAAAAGAGAGCTATTCCCGTCATGGTTCATGATGGTCGTCAAAAGTCTTGGCTCAATGCTGCAACAGGTGAGACTCGTCTAAGAGGGACTGCGGACGAGTCATGGGACGTCACAAATCCGGGGCCCCTTCAAATCTCCGTCAATACCGATTTCTTGGGATCGTCTACTCGGGTTCGGTAGCGACCGGTTGGCATTACTAAGGGCGGATGTTGTCCAGATTCCAGAGTATATTAACACGTTGTGCAGCCCCGTGGTGGTAATCGCGAAGCTTACGAGGAAGAGAAGAAAGCTGCGCAACTTGGCTGACTAGCGGAAGCATCACTATCGGATCAGCAGATCGCCTCACTCTTTTCAAACACCAGGACCAAAACGTTCCGGATTCCATTCGTTTTTGTCCCCTCTTGCAGCAGCGAGTCGCAACACCTTGACTGATTCCCACTCCATCTCGGTTGCGTCGACCTGCCTGTTTTACTTGGAATTATCACCAAGTTCCGCTCATTCCACCAGTCGCCCACTCCTTCGCGATAGCTCCATTCTTTTTCCATCCCAACCTTGGGTGAGCACATTTCCGTCTGTCTCTTCATTTCTCTCCAGAGACAGGCCAAGTCCTTTAGCTTGGCTTATCAAAGCGGCCACTAATCCTCCGAAAAAAAGGTTCCTCAAATCAAAACACACAACCATGCGCTCCTCATCTCCCTTGAAGAGCCTCTTGGCAGGCTCGGCCTTCTGGGCCGCCTCCTGCAGCGCCGTCACGCTCTACGCGGCCGACTCGGGCGGAAATGTCACGACGCTGTCGCTGGCCGGATCGGCCGGGGGCAACTACAGCTTTTCCGTCGCCAGCAAGACGGCAGACTGCGATGTCAACCCTGCCTGGCTCACCCTCGACGGCGCCAACAGGGTGCTCTACTGCCTCGACCGCGGCTCCAACTCGCAGCCCAACGGCTCGCTAAACTCCTTCTCCATCGGGGAGGGCGGCGCCTTGACCCGCATCGCCCGTGTCTCGGCGCCCTTTAGCGGCGTCGCTGGCGAGATCGTCACCACGCCCGCTGGCGTCCGGGGCTATGTCTCTGCTTCATAGTAAGTACTTACACTATCTTTCACAAGTCCTTCCTCCGAGTCGTCGTTCTCCGAGCTTGTGAGCTTCGAAGATGGGATGATTATTCGCCCGTCCCTCATTTCATGGTGGTCCAATCGGCAACACCATTCCCCCGTTCCCCAGAAATCGAGACCCCCATCTGCGGATGTGCGGGACTCTCTTATCCACCTGCCCCGACAAGTCTAGAAGGGAAAGCAACAGCTTCAAGGGATACCAAGCTCACACATCTCGGTAGCAACCGAAGCGCTGCGGCCGTCTTCGCCCTTGGCGACAAAGGCGCCCTCCCGGGCACCGGTCCCCTTCAGGAGATCTTCCCGACGCTGGACCAGCCCGGCCCGGTAGCCTCCCGCCAGGACACCTCCTACCTGCACCACGTCATCAACGACCCCAAGGGCCAGTACGTGCTCCTCGCCGACCTGGGCGGCGACAAGGTCCGGGTCTACTCCTACGACTCCAACACCGTGGCGCCGATCAAGGAGGTCGACGGCCTGGTCACCGGCCCCGGCGTCGGCCCCCGCCACGGCGTCTTCCGCACCGCCGCCAACGGCGACGTCTTCTTCTACTTCAACGGCGAGCTCGACCAGAACATCTACTCGTACAAGGTCGAGTACAAGGAGACCGGGCTCGCCTTCACAAAGGTCTTTTCCATCCCGGCCATCAGCGCTGACCTCCCGGCGACAAAAGCCCCGACTAGCGAGATTGCCCTCACTGTAAGTTTTTATCTGTTCCACTGTTCCCACATTCTTCATCTTCCTCTTTTGGGCCCCTTGCTGGCAGGCCTGTCGATCATTTTCTGGGCCTTATTTTAAACGCCGTACCGAGTTGAATTTTTCGTTTAATTTGTACCGACCGGCTGCATTCTGCTTCCGGATTTGTAATGTTTTACACGTCTAACAAAAGATCATTTTGGCTGACCACGTGGGGGGCACCTCACAACAGCCGGACAACAAGTTCCTCATCGTCTCCAACCGCGACGTCTCCTTCCGCGACTCCCCGATCCTCGGCTCCGGGCCCTCGGACACGCTCTCCACCTTCGCCATCAAGGAGGACGGCACCCTGGAGTTGGTGCAGCTCGCGCCGTCCGGCGGCTGGTCGCCGCGCCAGTTCTCCATCAACAAGGCCGGCGACCTCATCGCCGTGGGCCACCAGAACAACCGCACCGTCGTCATCTGGAAGCGCGACCTCGAGTCCGGCAAGATCGTCCCCGAGGCGGAGGGCGGCAAGGTTGGCGTGGTTACGCTCACTGGCGCTGTTGTCGCGACCATCTGGGACGAGTAGATGATGCAAAGAGGAGAAGGTTGAGACGCAGTCAGGTACAGATATTTGGCAGTTTGATGCATTGGGCTCGGGTGCATGTTTGGGCAGCGTCGGCGTCAGTTTCTAGTCTTGATAAATTAAGATCTATGAGGCAACTGGCATTACCTCGCGTCGGTACTTGCGGTGGTTTCCAACTGAGGTCTCTGAATTGGACCAGATACGTGTATTCTAACACTAAGAGTGTTGTTGCATTGAGTTTCGCCTGTATCGCGCGAGGCGTTCATCAGATGAACATGTAGCTTGTCCAGCCGGTGGGATTGCGTGTCTCCGACGAATCACTACAATGACTGAATCCCAAGACATAGATGGCACTGAACCTGTGGGAACTCAGAAGGCAAACGCTGAACCGCATTGTTTTTGTCGCACATTACAACATTTTCGAGCAACCTTCATCAGCTGTCACTCTCAAACTACTTAGACAACACCGAAAGAACATTGTGTGATGTCATCGAGTATTCTTCGTCTCTGCCTAATAATAATTCAACTTATGATCCGCTTCACACCTTCACGTATCATAGATACAGTTGGTAGCTACGCATCAGCGAATCGTAGACTAAGCGCTCACTATCACCAAACTATTCTCATACGATGGTCCAAAAAGAGCAGACTTTTGAAAGTCGTTATGAGGAATTCTTCCAAAACGTTGTCGGACTTTGAACCCACAAGGTGGGTGCAAGCAAGTTGGCTGCAGAAACGCAGCAGGAGGGCTTATTTCCCCGCGGCGATAGCGGTCCGCGGGGAATGGGTGCTTACCCTAGTCGCATAGATTCAAAGCACCGGACCAATCTCACGAATTTCTGAGGCCCACAATCTCATCTTTCTGTACCTGTTTCCTTGCGACACATTATCCCCGACAACGCGGTGTTCTCTAGTCATTCACCTCGTCAAGACGGCCACTTGGACGGAGTTTCCCTCGCTGCGGACATCGTTCAATAATCTCACCTATCTTTTAAGATTGCAATGTCAAGTCACTGACGATCAACAACATAAACTCCCTAACTCCGGCCTGCCATGACTCGCCCAACGCCCCAGCGCAAATCCAGACGCATTACCCAAGCGTGCGACTTCTGCCACAAACGGGGCATCAAATGCCGGGCTGCCCCAGCAGACGCATCGTCTCCCGGCAATAAGTCATGCTTGACTTGTATTGAGTATGACCAAGAGTGCACGCGGCACCGGCAACCCAAGAAGCGGGGCACGAAGCCGCGAGGCTCTGAAGGTAGTCATGGTGGTGGCAAAGATAGGCGCTGTCAATTAGATAACCGCAAGATCGTGACTGCGTTGCTTGATGTGTATCTGGACACGATACATCCAACGTAGGTCTCTGGTCACCCGTATTCGTCGTAATTGATGCTCATCCTCTCTGCAGGTTCCCGTTCTTCTGCGAGAGAGAGCTATGGGTTGGCTGGAGGGAGGGCACATTCCCATCTGGCTCGTCGGAGTACATGAGTCTCATTTGCATGTGCGCTCTGAGTGCTCAACATGTCGGAAAGCGGGCCCTGTTCACCGACGATATGGCTCCGTCTGACTTCGCAAGTCTCGCGAATGACTATCTTCAGGAGGCTGTGCGACTTGTGCCTGTTGATTTTGACAGTCCGGACATCGATCTTATACGATCTTATGGCCTCTTAGCTCTACTTGGGGCGCAGGAAGGTGACACCGCAATGATCCATAAATATTTGGTACTCTATCATGGCATGTCGGCCCGGTTCAGCTTACATGATGAACCGCGATGGCCGGGTGACACAACAGAATGTGACAGAGAGGTCAGACGCCGTCTTTGGTGGACGCTGTATCGACTAGAAGTGCACACAGCTTGTGTTTTGGGGAGCCTCATTCGTTGCCCCGAGGCTCATTCTGATGTTGGCTATCCTTGTGGGACGCATCATTCAGCATTCATCCCCGGCCGAGATGGGAAGTTTGAGAATTGGTTTGAAGGGTGGAACCTGACGACCGACTTGTACCGAGTCCTCGAGCACGCAATATCGGATTTCCGAACGCGAAAGCAAAATCAGAAGTCAATATTGCACAATACCCACGGCCCAAGTAAATCCCGAGAAATATCGGAGACGCTCTCCAAGATTCAGGCTGAGTTGTTACCGCATTTTGGAAGTGCGACCGTTCGATCAAGCGACAGTGGGAGAAATCGGTGCGGCTTCCAGGCGGCGAATATTCTGTGCACCATCCACCTAGCCAGGATGCTCTCGACAGTATCAGACGAAGACAACCTCCATGCAGCATGTAAAACAGCGCAAGAAATGATGCAGAACATGGAGGCGATACCCTTAGAGTACATTCGAGCTGGCGGATCGCCTCTCGTTCAGCAGCTTGCCGGCGTTGGCCATATGTTGATTGGCGTCTCGGGCAAGCACAACTTGTCACGATCAGATTATGGCAATTTGAAAGGGGTTATCACGTATATGGTGGACTTCTTGGGACACTTGGAGAACTATGGCAACGTTGCTGTGACCGCAAAACAACGCCTATTGTCTCGACTTACGGACGTGGATCGGCGTGTATCTGCGTCAACTCAGGAGATCACAACCGAAACTGGACCGCAACTTGTATGTTCTCCGTCCTCGGAAAATCTGTTTAATGATGGACAGGACGGCGATGTCTTCTCTACAACTCTTTTTATTAGCTTTACTTGGCCTTTTGACCTGCCAGGGAACGAAAGAGATGCTTGATAAAGCCAGACTAAATAGTTTCTATACGTAGACAAAATGATTCTTCAATTCGAACCCGATGCACAATTACGGGAAAACCCCAATGACTCTTATCACTTCTGATCTATCTTGGAGTTCCTAGTATTTGTCGACTTTTGCTTGTTCGTTCTGAAGGCGTAATACTCCCCACCAGTCATGATCGGATACTTCATCGGATACTCGTCGCTGATACAAGTCGGCACAGGCTCTAAAACCTTTTGCCTGTCGAAACCAAAGAAGAACGGGGCCGAATACCTCTCTCTACCGCTCTTATTGATGACGCGATGGATTGTCGACACGAATAAGTCATTCGTCTGCCTCATGAAGCAGTCGGCAATGTTGACGACAAACGAGCCAGGGATAGGCTCTGCCTTCACCCAGTTCCCAGTTTTGCTAAGCACCTCCAAGCCCCCTGAGGTATCTTGGGTGACAATGGTGAAGCACTCGACATCAGTGTGTGCGCCGATGCCGTTTTGATCGTCCACTGAGTGCTTCTGCTCGGGGTAGTGCAAGATGCGCATGCCTGCCTCTGGCCGCTTGATGTACTCGTCGAAATAATCCTCAGGCAAGTGCAGAGCGAGCGCAAAGATGCGAGTCAGGCGACGAGACAGACGAAGCAGCTCGGTATGATAGGCATAGAGGTTTTCGCGGAACCCGGGCACGTCGGATGGCCAGATGCTGACTGACTTTTCAGTCTTGTCAACTGCCTCCGGGTCTTCTCGGGCGTCGTAGGCCCAGTTGAAGGCCTCGCTTAGATCTTTCACGGCGTTTAGCAACACAAACCTGGTGATCAGGGCAATGGCGGGCTACCTTGGTGCTTCCACCCGTTTCGGTTGTAGCACTCCATGGGATGAAAACCGACGTACTCGTTCGGCACGAGACCGGTGAAGACCTCCATCTTCTTCTCTTCAGGCAAGGCAAAGAAGCGCCTTGCCTGCTCCATAGTCTCATCCGCGAATCTTTGGTCGATTCCCTGGGACATCGAGTCAATTGAACTCCATTACCTCCATGCCTGGTCCAGTACTCACATGGTTGATCAAGTAAAAGAACCCAATGTCCCTCGAGGCTTCTCTGATCTCCTGGGCAACGGCTTTACGATCCACAATATCGTCACTCCATATGCCCGCAGCGTCGATAACGGGGATCTTCTCAAGGTTTGTAGAGACGTTCGAGTTGAAGCTGAACACTGTCCCGTTGTGTAGAGTGACGGTCCGCTTTTCGGACTGAGAAATCGTTTCTGTTTGAGACATGTCGAGATCACTGTTGATGGTTCAATGGTGAAGATGTTACGCGACCGGGTAAATGATTTACATGTACGAAGGCGCTTTTGGTAAGTGACCTGATGGGTCTTGATGAAAACCTTCTGAAAGTACTTATAACCTGCATGTGAAGATGTCACCTCGAGTCTCTGTAGGTGATATGACGGTTTGATATGAGCCCGAACTGCCATTCCGGAAGAACTGCTCAACTCTCCGACGTCAGCTCGACCTGCGGGGCTACCACGGAGATGCAAGCTTATCGCGGGGCATGCGACTGCTAAACTGGTGAACTGGTTAACTGCAGTGGTTGAAGATGCAAGTTCTCCTATTGGTCATTAACATCTACATGGCTCCACAATCATCATGGACGGGTATGATCTGCCGGGGGTCACGAAGAGGGGCTTCTCCGCTATCTTCGCAAGTCTCGGTATCGAGAGACCGATCCTTATCACAAGTACTAGCTGTGATTACATCCGGGAAATGCCCGAGGCGGGCACAAAAGGAATGGAGATGTACTCCTTATCATTCTCCCGAAGACGCTGTCTTGCGAAAGGAATAACAGCTATCTATAAAATGAAGTCTCTCGAGCAAGATACATCCTCATGCTGGCTGTAGAGAGATGGAACCTACAAAACCGGCTCTCTCGCTTTGAGTCAACTCGACAGCAAAACGATGACGACCGCAACCCCTTTGAGTCGCCGCCTCATCAGACGCATTGAGGTAAATCGAGATACGGATACAGATGTGGACATCTACGTCAACAAAGACACGCGGCCGTTGCCCCCTTCTCGCCGCACATATGGCCCATGGGAGTTCGTTGGCCTCTGGATGGTGACAGGTTCTTTCAACGTTGGAGGCTGGACAACAGGATCTTCCCTCATTTCTCTGGGACTCAATGTTTGGGTAAGTGTCGTCTTTCTCTGTGGCTGCCGCCTCATAGAGGTAACTCGTCAACTAATCAATGAGCATAGCAATCTATGATTGCCATCATCGTCGCCCATACCTTTGTTGGCTTTGTCTGCATAGCTGGCGGTCACCCTGGCGCAAAGTGGCACATTGGCTTTCCCCTATGGATGAAGCAGAACTGGGGCATCTGGGGCTACCTCTTCCCAATGGTATGTCGCCATTCGGAGGCTCAAACTAATTTCTCTGACATGCTGGCTAATAACGACGAAGGCCATCCGCGTTTTCTTGTCCTTTGTTTGGACAGCCACCAACACGTGGTACGGAAGCCAATGCCTAAAGGTTCTTTTGACATGCATCTGGCCGTCCTTTCTCAATCTAGACACAGAGCTCGCGGATGGTACGATGAAGACGTACGACCTCGTATCCTTCGTACTCTACTGGCTCCTGTGCCTCCCAATGATCTGGTTCAGCCCGGAAAACTATCGGAAACCGTTTCTGATCGCCTCCACAACTGTTGCTACAACCGTGTTCGTACTTCTCATCTGGTCCACCGTGCGAGCTGAGGGAGGAGGTGCCCTTGTCGCAGATGTGAGTAAGGTCTCGGGTGTCAAGCCAGCTACGGGAGGCGATCTCGGTTGGGCCTTCGTTGCGGCTGTTACGGCAAATATTGGGGGCATCGCGACGCACATGTGGTCTCAGTCGGACTACACGCGATACGCACGGAAGCCGGGAGATCAGGTCTTGGCGCAGCTAATCATGGTACCTTTGGGGACCATCATCGTAGCCTGCGTCGGGATCATCTGCACTTCATGCGCGGCGACGCTGTACCCCGATGAGGGCAAGCTCCTGTGGCAGCCCTACGCTTTCCTGGAAGCCGTGCGCAAGAACGAAGATAACTCTGGTGCCCGAGCGGGGATCGCGTTTGCGAGCATCGCCTTCATGTTCTCGCAGTTCGGCATGGTGGTCGCATCCAATTGCGTGGTCGCCGGAATCGACCTAGCCGCCCTGCTACCGCGTTGGTTCACGGTCCGCCGCGGGGGCTATTTCACTATTGTCTTCGTATTCATTATGCAGCCCTGGGCGCTCCTCAACAGCGCTAGCAACTTCTTGACTGTCGTGAGCAGCTTCAACGTTTTCCTCGGCCCGCTCATGGGTATCATGTTCGCTGATTACTTTCTCCTCCGCAAGCGGACGATCAAGTTGACGGACCTCTACGGGAACTCATCGAACAGCATCTACTGGTACACCAAGGGATGGAACTGGCGTGCAGCCATCGCCTGGTGCCTGGGCGCGTGGCTGTTCATCCCAGGTCTGGCGCAGCGAGCTGTTGCTCCAAGCGAGGTATGGGCGGGCTGGACGAGGCTTTATCAATTGTCGTGGTTCGTGGGCTGCCTTGTGTCAGGTCTGATATACCTCCTCCTAGACTATTTGTGGCCCATGCCTGAAAATCAAGCGGTGGATGACCTTGATTATTTTGGCACATTTGGGGATGCGCCCGTCCTACGCGGGGTGGCTGAGCTCGACGCCATCTCCACGATGTCTGGAGCTGTGGATATTGACGAGAAGAATTCCGGGGCGGGCGGAGAGAAAGTCCAGACCGTCTGACGCCAGTGGCATATTTTCGTGTCTATTGCCTTTTCCGTCGTTCACTCATCATATCATCTAATCTATCTGCCCAAATATTCAGCCACACTCGCACGAGACTAGTAACTCAATGTCTCAGATCTCCGTCAATGTTGACACCTCAACGAATCATGTTTCCTTTGCCTTTTGCTCTTCTGTCTTTCTTTCCAGAGCTTGAACGGCCGCATTCTCCAGATGAATTTCCCCATGATCGGCCAATCGTACAAACCGCAGCTCGATCCTAGGTAGGTATGCCGTTTGCATAATGGAGCCAGGACAAACCTAAACTGTTCAAGACATCAGCCAAAACCCACTGACTCAGGGCCCCGATTGGTCCAACCTAAAGCCACAGCTGTGGACGGCGTCTGCGGGTAGCTTGCACCAATTTGGTTGAAGATCGCATTTCTAGAAGGTGAACATGCCCAGCATACGTGTGAGCTGGTGCCGCCCCTCTCCCCGAGTGTCAAGCTTTCCTCAAGCTTTCTTCCAGCTCCTCGCGAGTCTGTCTCATGGGTCATCCTTCCCGTCGTGCCGTCAACCTCCTGCATCTGCCATACTTCAGCCGGGAAGACTCTACTCATACCGTCGTTTAACCTCTGCCGGTGACTCAAGACTGCTGATCTTGAGTTCCTGTGCTCAAGTGCCGACCCAAATACTTTCTTTTCCCGCACTCTTTAAAGTTCCGCCGGACGCCGCGTGGACGTAGATCCTAGCCGCCCCCCCTACGCATCCGTGCCCCCTTGCCGTCGACCGCCGTAAAGGGGCCAGGCCCAACGCCGCTAGGGATCCTGTTCCAGCAATAGAAGACGAAGGATTCTGCCCACGATCTGCTCTGTTTTCTCGCAACCTACCTTGGTCTTGTTTCTGCTGCCCGCCGCCATGTCGCCCGAGTAGAGAGTGGTGGAACTCGTAAACGGACTTCAATCCCCATCAGAGCATGGTGGATGACGACGTCGACATCGATCCGAACCGACCTCGCCGCGTTCTTGCGGTTGCCATTCTCTTTCTCTGCCTCACGCCCATCGCCGTCGCTCTGCGGCTGTACTCGAAAGTTTTCATATCACGCGAACCGTGACCTCCGACGACAAGCTTCTTTGCCTGCTCCAAGCTGTTTTTACGGTGTTTTTGGTCACCGAAATCCTGGGAGTGGTGCATGGTACGGGCCGCGATGCGACACAGATAACGCCAGAAGATCGACGGAAAGCTCTCCAGGTACGTTGCAGACTTGGTCCACCTCTGCGACAGATTCAACGACGACGCAACGAAATCACTGGACTGTTGTGTTGACTTCCAACGTGCAGTACTTCTTTGCTGGCGAACTCCTGTATCTCCTCACGACAATCCTCCTCAAAGTCTGCGTCGGCATCCTACTTCTGCGCATCGCGATCGTCCCGACGCACATCTGGATTCTGCGGGCACTGCTCCTGTCGACGCTGGTGTTTGGGTTTCTGTACCTGTTCCTCATCGCCTTCCAGTGCCGACCAGTACACGTATTCTGGGACGAGGGTCCTCGTACCCCAGGCCATTGCTTCTCGAAAACCGTAGTTCTCGGCACCACATTCACAGCCGCCACACTGAATTGCATTGCGGACTGGGCATTTGGAATATTGCCTTTGTTTATTGTCTGGTCGTTGGACCTGCGCAAAAAGACCAAAATTCTGGTTGTGCTCTTGCTAGGGTTTGCTTCAATGTACGTTTCCCATCTCGATGGTTTGGTGGCATGCGCAACACCCAACCTTCCGCTCCGGTGGCATAACTATGATTGGTGATGGAGATTCTAACATGGATTGACTTTTTGCAGCGCGAGTATCGCCACTATTATTCGAGCGGTGACAGTACCGTCTGTCTTGAGCGAGGAAAACTTTCTTCGTACGTCAATCGATCTGCCCATGCACACCTAAACTTTACCAGTTTGGAGGGGCACCAAGCCCTTAAATGGCATTTAAAACGCGTGCTCACTCTTTAATCGTACAGGCGATACCGCCAACTTCGCCATTTGGAGCACCGTCGAACCTGGAATTGGTATCACCGCTGCTTGTGCACCGAGTCTCACGCCTCTCGTCCGACAATTGTGTGGAAGGAGGCAGCGGGAGGACCAGAGTAGGGGGCCTTGGAGGACTAGATCGTTGCCAACCATCGAGTTAACGGAAGTAACGAGCGAGACGACCGACACGATGTCGAAGAACTTTTTCAGGGGGTCTTTCTCCCGGAGCGAGCCGTCGCAATCGATGGAGATGCCAAGGTTGCGCTTTGACGACTTTACCTACGAATCACGAATATCAGGCCCAGAGTCACGACCTTGTCGGCCAACACCGAACAGAAATAGGGCGTCCTGGACCTTTCCACTAAGATCGGGTTCAGGATCCTCGTCTTCCTCTGCTTCTGGCTGGGAATCGTGCGCTACTACACCGGGAAAGTCGGCTGCCGCGGGTAGTGGGGTCCTTCCCGAACCTCCATCTTCCGGTATCATGAAAACAATGGAGATTGAACTGTCATACGAGGACAGGACATGGACGAAACAAGGACGGATGATGCCACGAGATGAGTGCATGCTGCGGCCGCATTCTTTATCGGGCTTCAGGAGGTTGACGAGTGGGGAAGTGCCCCTTTTACCGGATATCGATAGTAACAACTTGTCGCCGTTATCTGCGGAATTTGACCTAGAGTCAGGGTTTGGTTCAACGACGTTCAGACACTCATCTCCCCCTGAGGCGAGCTGGCAATGGTCAGACAGCAGCGGTGCTAGAGAAACATCAGAGCATACACTGGGATTGCCATCCCCAACAGAACAAAGGAGGCAGGATAACGGGCAACTCGGGGATTCATGAAAGGTTTCTGGGAAGGTGATGATTCTAAACAGGTGGGACGGGATTACGAACACGAATACGAATGTGATGATACTTGAAGTTTTGAAACGCTTGACCATTCGGTCTTGCTGAATTGAATACAATTCAATACAACAACTACGGCTTTGGGAGAATGAAAAGGCGCCACAAAGATCCGTTGAACGGTATCCCGGATTCCCGTTTTTGATCTCCCCTTTCGAGGTTGATGCTCTAGGGCCCGAGGCTATAGTTGCGAAGTGAGTGGGTTGGCTTGTCATCCACAGATGGCGGTTGGATCTTGAAAATCTTCTGCGAAACGTCCTCCAATTCTGCTGCCCGCCCCTCGCTCATGACTGATGACTGTGTCGGTTGGGTGACGGTTTCCAGGAGCTCTTTGACCAAAACCCAAACTCTTCTACCTGACCTTTCCCGCTGCTTGCTGATACCGTGCGGGTCCTGGTCTGTCGCTGGGCGAAATTACCGCTCAAGATATGTGGCACAGGTCGCTTTTCGGGGCTGTCACTACATCGTGAGTGGATCTTGCGATTTGACTGGAGCCGGAACTTAACAATATGATCCAAGCGTACACGACTTCTGACGAATGTAAAAGATTTGAATGAGGGTTGGGGATGGCCCGATAAAAGGCAACGCGTGTCTCTTCAAGAGTGGAGGGCTTACGTCGTTCATACCTGCAGTTACGGGGCACGTGTTCAACCGCATGCCCGTTGAATGCGCTCAATCTAACACTCACAACTGGAGAATCCGTTCACACGTGGAGGCTAGCCGCCCTAAGGTATGGTGCCATGCGGGCTTCTGCAGTATTTGCCTGGTTGGCTTCAATTGGTTGAGGGATCAAAGTGGAGGTTGGGCAACTGAATGCTTAGACAGCCATGCATAAGCTTACACACCCACAATCAGCAACATCTCGTACAATTACCCCGTGTTCCGAAGACTCTTGCGTATGAAGATTCTAGTCTCGACGATCTGTTGTCGTCGTGGTGAATGTATATATGAACATATTGGAGCCACCGGTTTCTCTTCGCATTGAGCCAATGTGTTTTCGGGATCGTCCACAATCAGCGACCTCCAAGGCATCATAGTGCGATTTGAAAGCGCAGACGCCTATCAGACTCACTCTCAGACTCTGTCTCTCTCTCTGCGGCGTCAATTTTGTACAGCATGCTGCACGAGTTAGATCAGCTAAGCAAGTAACCGGCGTCGGCGAAAAGACGTGGTGAATGTTGAGTTATAAATCAGCGATCCCATCTATCCAGAGTAAACTCACGATTAATGCTTACCTTGTCTTCAATTCCTCGCGTCATAGCAGCCAGTCCCCAGTTCCAGGTGTTCTCTGGGAAATGAGTAATCTATGTGCCCTCCCGGCCTTCCCTATGAGAGTAGAGATCAGTAACATTCCACATCGGTCTCTTGAGAGACTTGAATGAGCCAGTCAACTACATCCAACGATATGCCCGCGAGTTTATAACGGGTCTCAATGTACACTCAACTGACAGACCCACCAGACGGCGTAGTTGATTTGTCCTTCAATTGCGATGGAAAACCTACAACTCACATTCGAATTGATCAGCAGACCCAAGAGCGGCATGTATGGCGCGATTCAAACGACAAGATGCCAACAGACCTTCCTCTTCTTCGCCTAAGATCCTGTCAAGCACATCCGACTATTCGGAGGCCGAATTGTGATTTGCAATAATCTATGATCACTCTTGCTACCTGCAGGTTTGACAAAATTGCGAAGAAGGATGAAACCTGGCATACTAGCAATATGGAAGACTTTTCGAATATCGACGAGGTGACCATCCGCCGCGTTGATGATCTGGGAGCTGTGCCAAGAATGAGAGACTGGGCCCCAGTTCCGTGGTTTCCAATCGTGAACATGACAACGTGGTCGCTGACAACACAGTTCTGACAGTCGGAAGTGGAAACACAAGGCAATCATATTCGGGTACGGTGACCTATTAAATGGTGAGGCAACGAATTGGTTCGCAGCGGAGAGGGTCGCAAAATTGGCGCAGGAGAATGGAGCGCATATGCATGATAAGCCACTAAGACCAGGGTATGTCAGCTCACTCGCCTAGAAACGATTTTGTCTAAAACCAGGCTGGCCAATCGTACCGACGCTTCTGATTCTCAACCATTCACAACATTTGAACACTGCATACGACTGCGGGGTATCATGTTGGCGAAGGCGGTGGCTGGTTTCAATGGTCTGTTGCAGCGTGGCAGCCTTAATTTGGATAAGTTGGCGCGAGGGCACCCGCCCTGGATTCCCATGTCCCTGGCCCCTCTTCTTTTCTTCTAATTATGCGAGTGCTTCACAGCCGCATCGGATTTTCTCTTTTTGCCTGCGGATCCTCCACTCGACTTCACAACTCGACCTCGTGCATCTGAACCTCCAACGATGACCTGGCGACGGTGACATTCCCATGCCGGAACGCTCCTGTACAGACTTGGTTCTTTTCCGACCAGGCAAAAACACTGGAACCTCTGCGGAGCGGTCCAGTATGCCCGGACCCACGCGCCGTGTTCATATAGTTGATGCAGATGGTAAACCCCAACACTCAGTCGTTAGTTCAGTCTCAAGATCTCCAAGTAGACAGGACCGCCGATCTTCATCCTCACAATCCACGACAAACCCGGCACCAAGATATCGGCCCTTGCAAGCTGCAGCGGGCTCAAGAGCCCCACCAAGATCATCATCATACCACCGACCGTCCGTCAAGGGCAAAGAGCCTTCGTCATTTTGGCAGCAACACAGGCGTCCAACGAGTGGCAGGAATAGGGACGATTCGCCTGGAGTAGGCCCATCACGTCAACATAATTGGAACCAGGAGTCATCTCAGCCAAACGAGAAGATGCATTCAAGCCCGAACAACGCCACTTACGGGAGTTATGACTATATCGCAGGGGCATATCGTCGTCCAAAGTTTCACGAAAATGTTCCTGGGATGGTTCCTCCTGATTACCATCCACCAGGCCCCTGTATGAACATGAATTCATACAGCTCTATGCCTGGCCGTGCTTGTGGGATGCCACCGCCGCTTGTAGAACCTGGACATATGCCGTACATGTCATCGCAGGCTTTGCCAAGAGTGCCTCCTCCCCCGCCACCGCCTGAAGCCACCTCAAGCCTGTCGCCAGATAAAATTCGGGAAAGCGAAGAGATTGAAAATCTTAGAAGGGAACTAGCAAAAGTCAAAGAAGACCAACGAGCGAGGGAGGAGCGCCAGCGGCAGGAGGAGTTCGAGAGAAGGGTTCAAGAAGAAGCGGAAAAGCACATGAAGCAGAGAATGGAAGAACTCCGACTTGCTCAGGAGGTCGCGAAGAAGGAGCTCGAAGAAGCAAAAGCACAAATAGAGAAAGCCGCCCGAGAGGCAATCGAAGTTGAAAGGCAAGCTGAAGAACAGCGCCGAGTACAGGAACGAGAAGAACTCGAAGAGTGCCAGAGAGTCGCTAGAGCAAAGCTTGAGGCAGAATTACGTGCCAGAGCCGAGCGGGAGCAGCTGAAAGAACAGGAAGCACATCGCCTCAGAATGGATGCTGAAGCAAAGGTGGAAGCCAGGCTGGCATATGAGCAAGAGCAGAGGCGACGAATTCAAGAGGAAGAGGAAGAGAAGGAACGGGTGCGCCAACAAATCAGAGACGAAGTGCGGCTTGAGTTTATGAAACGAGAGAGAAGATACATAAGCTCATCGTCAGAGACCGAGTCTTTCAGCTCACGATCTTCCCTGAGCAGCAGCTACTTGAGTCTGAGTACCACCAGTCGGAGTAGGTCTACTAGCTCAAAGATCTCAGCTCGGCTGAAGGCTCCAAGCTGTAGCTCTTGCAGAGCTACGAAGGCGCTCAGTATCGGCTCATCTGACAATGTCAAGGCTCTGAACCTTCAGACGTCGGACGATGGCGCAGCAGGTAGTACGCAAGGAGACGACAAAACAAAGGACGCAACTCTGGACCCGTTCATGTACCTTGAAAAGACATCAACACCGCCGCCGCCGAACCTGCAAAGAAACGATGTTGAAACGCAAGAGCCATACTGGGCTTGGGAACACTACTCTAGTAGACTACCGTCTGGATCTATTCCGGAAGATGCAGGATACACATACGCCGATCTAGAGAATCTTGCATTACAGGAAGGCCAGCTTCCATCCGACGATGACGAAAGTGGAAGTTCATCGAGTACTGGGACAGATAGTGACGACAATGGTTCCAGTCTAGGCATCGGAGGTATCTTTGAGCACGAAGCTTCTGACGATGAGGACTCAGATGCCGGGACTGTGATTGCGGCATTCGATAAGCCGAGGCTCACTCCATCGTTTATTCGCGATGATGGTGCTCGTACAAAGGGAAAGGAAATCTTGTCGGTCCAAGGAACGCAAGCAGAGCGCCTTTCGAACCCTGAGGTGGGGAGTCCTTGTTATGGAAACGGTCGCTTCCCGAGCACCGAAAATTCGGAGCAAAACCGACCGAAGACGCAAGAGCTTCCGCTGAAGATCCCAGCTCAAGAAGAGGCGACCTTGCCCGCCGCTTTGGTTCAGTATCTTATTACAGAGGGCAACGAAGAACAGCAGCAAGCTGCTATTGAGGAGTTTCAAGAGGAAATCGATAATGGAGACGGAGGTGCGAACTTGAGAAGCCATCCAAAACAGCCGACCATGAGCAAAGCTGTTCCCGAACGGACCAAAAATGCCTTTTTGGCGGATCCCCAATCGATTGGATATTCGCTACGGACACACTCATCTCGCGATAGCCCCTTGCTGCCCCTGCTTGCAAAACATATCTCCGACTTTGAAGAGGAATCGTCTCATCGCAACAGGTCTAGCAATTCTTGCAGGGTTCCTCTGCAGTCGCAAGATATGAAAGGTTTCGATGGTAGTTTTCGCCCCTTCCTACAGGAAGGTAACTACCCAAATTGGACTGGTGAAGAAAAACCAAACCTATTGTTTCCATATTACTTGGGAAACCAGGGACGTCAGTCAACGAGCAGCTTCGACCTCAGACAGGTTCGCTCATCGAGGGCTTCGAGCTCAGTTTCTTCTGAATACGAAACAGAAGTGCCCATGGCTCTTGTGCCTTGCATCATGGTTCCATTGAACATGATTCAGTCGGCAATGCAGGGCCCAATGTTCTATCCAGGGGCTATGCCTCGGCAAGATCGTTGACAAAGATCAGAGACACGGTGTGTCGGAGGGTTTAACGTTAGACGTCGCATTGAAGCACGAATGGGGGATTTTTGCGTAAGGCGCCAACTGGCGTTGACTATATATGGCCGAAGAAGATGGTACTCACGACTGACGACGGTTTTATACACTAATTCCATGTATTGTATCTCGTGTATGAATAAAAAGGGTCTCGGACAAGCTATTTTTATAGTTGCAGCCAATAGGCTTTTATGTGCACCAGCCAGTCTCATGAATGCGAACCAATGTTGTTTCCAACGCACACTGTCAGTTTTTCAGGCTGTTTGGCAAATGATCATTTACCAGTTTGAGGACACATTCTAATTTCTAACACCAAAAGACAATCAGAGACTTTGCGCAGGCCAGGGTGGCGGCGCTACTGCCCCGGATGTCAGCCCCGCAGCGACCGTCTACATGTTAAGAGTTGGCGGTGTTGCTCCTGCTTCAGAGGGATCCTCGCACCGCATGGGATCAGGCGAAGGGGCCATGAATCTTGCCCATATTTCTCAGCATACGTATATTTTTGACGGACGTAGCGGGCCACAGAGAACGCTTTTACTATCGAGAGATATCAAACTCACTGACTCCTATGTCATCAAATCTCCTCTTGGCATACCTCTCCGTCGTCCTGAAGTCAGACACCGCCAACACTGACACAAATCCCGCAAGCGCCACAACACCCGCCACCGGCGCCAAGATGGAGAACACGGTAAACACGTAGCTCGCCTTCTGGAAGGCCCCACTGGCCGTCAAATCCTCCGTCGCCAGTCCCACCTGCATGGCTGTGAGCACAATCGCCAAGAACGCGAGCGCCGTCGCGAGGGACGCAAAGTGGTCGGACAGAAAGCTGGCGTACACGGAGGGACTGTCGACCTGTGAATATCCCCGCCACAGAGATCTCGTTTTGATGCGCCAAATCAGGTTGAGACGTTGGAGTCGCAGCTCGCCGTACCAGTACCGGGGGTTGATGGCGCAGTAGCGAAACTCAGAGAGAAACTCGGCACAGAGATGGCGCCAGGCTGGCCAGGAGATTGTCTGGGGAAGGAGGCCGAGGTCTTGAGCAAGCCGGAAGTCAGTCTCGTGCATGACGAGAGCGGTGTAGGAGAAGAGGAACCCAAGAGCGCAGGCGCGAATCTCGTCGCTGGGCGGGGTGCTGCCGGTCTGATCCGTTGCGCCCCAGCTGCCGACGGAAAGTTTGCCGACAAGGCTGGGGGCCGAAGCAGATGATGCTGACGGCAGGAGATGGGTCGACCAGAAGGCTGGGTCTAGGAGAAACAGTGGCAAGGGTTTTACAAAGATACGATTCTTTGACCAGACCAGATGATGGTCTACTCGCTCGGTGACTGTAATTATGCGTGATATGACGGTTTGGTGGTGCAAAGGCCGAGGAGGCATTGGCCGACCGCACCAGAACATCCACCGGTGGATCTTGTTCAGACGCCGAACCAACAGTTCCTGCTGAAGTAGACTCGAGTCAACCTGCGCAGGGAGTATATCGTCCGATTTCGTGCGATACGTTGCCGGTATGTGCGCGATATCAAATTCAAGCACTTGAGTCTTGAAAGGAGGTTGACCGGAAATCATATTCTTGTGGCTGCCGCAAGCCGCGTGGAGGACGTCGGGACGGCAAATACAACGAAGAGACATCCATCCACGTTGGAAACTGATCCAATTTCATGAGACTTATAAGGTATTCCCTGGATGTATTCATACAGGCTGGGACGAGGCTGGAACGACGGCTTGGCGAAGTATTTTCGTGCCCAGAAGTGGGTTTCACCTCCCGGGGTGTCCAAGAGTGATCATCGTCCCAAACAGCTGCTGGCGGCTCTGGTTCTGTCAGAAATCATCTCCGAAGCAAACAAAGCTGAGATGCTGCGTAGCTTCATGTTTGACTTAGACCAATGATGTGGCGCTGTGCAACGGACTTCACTCTTCCAATTCGGCGTTTCTACCTATTTGGGCATGCAAATCATGTTTCTGACCACCAGGCTCTGGTCATGCCCTGTCAGCAGCGGACTCGAGGGCCGAGCCTGATTTCGGCAGGGTGATCGGGTTCAACAAAGATGACTCCGACAACCGTGCCGCGCGATAACCCCGCTCGAACCCATTATTTACTTCAGAGCCTCGCGGAACGCAACCTTCGATGATCCATTTTGCTGTCCTCCAACCTTTCAGAACAACTTTATCTTCTGAGAGCAGAACCTTTCCTCTTTCAAATTTCACCGTTTATTCAGCATGACCACACGAAAAGGAAAAGCCTGGACGTACAGGGTTGCAGGCATCCCGTTCGGCACTTCTACCCAGGCGCTGATCGACCGGTATTTTGACCGTGATGATCAGAGTGATTTGACAGTCCGCTCCCTCTGCCCTAACGCGGCCTGTCCGGAGGGGAAGAATGACGGTGGACTTGTAGCCACGGTATACTTCAAACCAAAAGACTCACGACCTGACGGCCCAAGACCCCAGAAAAAGCCGGATTAAGGTCAGCCGAGAGTTTGTTGGCTTCACCCCTCTCTTTGTTCCTCCAGCGGGAACGCCCATTGTCGCTGAGTACGTTTGCCACTAGAATGCTCCATAATTCGCAACTGATCATGATCCAGCATCATTGCCGTCACTGGCCTGGCTGGGAATGCATATGGATCCTGGGCACATGACGAGAATGAAATGTGGCTTAGGGACTCCCTTCAGTTCACGGCGCCCAACGCAAGAATTCTCACATACGGCTATGTGTCCAAGGTAGAAAACGGCTGTTCATTTGGGATACTCCAAGACCATGCCTGCGCATTCCTCGTAAATCTCCTCCTTATGCGAGACGAGGGAAGGTGCGAGAGTCGCCCTATTATATTCATTGGTCACAGCTTAGGCTGCTTGATTGTGAAAAAGGCCATGATTGATGCGGCATCTAGAGGCATCAACATGGCACGCCTCCCAGTCCGGGCCATCATATTCCTAGCTGCACCCCACAAAGGCCTTAATATAGAAGCTTTGCAGACTTTTATCAAAGGGCAGCCCTCCAAAACCCTCATCCACAAACTAAAGAAGGGGTTACCTATATATTACAGTCAGCTATCTAATAGTAGGGTCTGCTAACAGAAGCTGGGGATTAATATATTATAATAGTATACTAAGGTTATAGTCTAGGTTATAGGTTATAAGTTAATAGTAAATCAGGTCTTTAGAAGCTAAAGTAATTAGTCTTAAACTTAATAAGTAATTTATAGTAAAGGTAAGCTAAGAGTATCTATAAGGATAAATACTAAGTTAATTACTAAAGAACTATAGAAATTTAATTATAAGTTAAGGCTTAAGGTTATTTTATATATAGGTCCCTTATATAAATAGTCTTATTATTTATAAGTACTATCTCCCTTATTATTATAAATACTTATTCTAAAATAGGATAAATACTTATTTTAATATCTACTAAGTGTTTATTATAGGTCCCTTATTTATACTTATTCCTTATTATTATATAACCTATACTATAGTTCTTCTATTCTTAAGTAAGTCCCTATTATTCCTATAATCCTATAGAGTATAAATATCCTATCCTAGCTACCTAACGCCTAAAATAGGTTAACTAACTATTATCCTTATTTATAGGTTATAATATTAGATCCTCCCTCTAAAGGTCTTATCCTTAAGACCTAATATAAGTAGGTTATTAGTCTTAAATTAGGGATCTATTAATTATACTTCTTAATTTTCCTATAATACTAATACTATATTAGGTTATATTTAGAAACTAAAATCTTTAAGTGCTTTAACTTATTATCGTTTATTTTAGATTTTTTAATTTATTAATAAGGGTATTAAGAACGATATACTTTATTTAAATTATTATTTATACAGTATATAGTATTTACTTCTTCTAGATTCTAATATCTATAGGACTTACTATTACTTAAGTATCTTATATAATACTTCTGAGGATATAATCTATACTTATAGGTTTTTTAGTAGTAATATAGTTTCTTTTACTAATTTTAGTAAGTAGTGAATTACTTAGTAGTAAAGTCTAATTATCTAGACTAAGTAGAAGTAGTTAAAGAGGTGAAATTTTATAAGAGGGCTACTACTTTATAATAAAAAGCTGAGGTTTATTAAAAAGCTTAGTTAGAGTTAAATAAATTACTAGTAAAATTAGAGCGATTATAGGAGTAGAAATAAATAGTGTTTAGAAAGGGTAAAGTAGCTATAGCTAAGTCTTTAGAAGATATATTAAATTCCTCGTTAGAGGTATAGTTAATAGGTACTTAAGGTGTTTTAAATATAGATACTTTATTTAACTAGAATCTTATTACTCTAAGCTTCTTATTAGGGGAGTCTTAGTTATATTCTAATATTCTTAGTTAAATAGATATATTTTCCTACTATATTAGTCTAAAGTGTCCTCTTAGTTATGCCTATATTAATAGGAGTTATATCCCTTATTTCTTAGCTTCTCTTTATTTCTATTATATTTCTTTCTATATTTATTTTTCTTTTTTATTAGTATATTTTATATATTCCTTAAATTCTTCTAGAATTATAAGTAGGTTTAGTCTATCCTTAAGATTAATATAATTAAGTATTCTAATATATTTATTAATCTTATTTTAATAGTTAAGTAAGTTATTATTAGATTCCTATATATTATCTTTATATCTATAGTTTTTCTATTTAATAAGGTATTCCTATTTATTATCTCTATACTAGTAGTTTAGTAGTTTCTCTATTTTATATTCTAGTTTATTATCTTTTATAATAATAAGGTTATTTATTTAGGATCCTTATAATATTAGTTTAAGAAATGAAATATAGAATACTAAGTAATACTTTATAGTTTCTAGGAGTTTAAGTTTATAGTTAACTAGTAAGATAACTTATAAGATTTTAAAAGGTCTAAGTTTTTTATAATTAAGTTTATTACTTAGTTATTTTATTTTAATATTTTACTATATAAAGTAGGTACTATCTCTCTCTTTTAAGGTTAATCCCTTAATCTTTTACTTATTACTAAATTTTAATATTTATTATTAGATAAATTTAAGTTCTTTATATATATTATCTTAGATATTTTTAATCTATTATATTAAGGTAGTAACTTTAACTATAACTAGGCCTACTTAAAGTTCTCTATAAGTAGTAGGTTTAAAACTATAGTTAAGGTAGAAAGGGGATTTTTTAGTACTTTCTCTAATTATACTATTATAAGTAAACTAAGTAATTAGTAGTAATATAACCTAATTATCCTAATTATAGTTAATATAGGTATAGAGGTATATTTTTAGGATTTAGTTAATTTATTCTATTTATCTATTAGTCTATAGGTAGAATATAGTAGATATAGATTACTTAATACTAAGTTATACTATAATTAATTTCTAAAATTTAGAAGTAAAAATCTTATCCCTATTTAATATAATTTCCTTAGGTATACTATAGTTAGTAATAATATATTTAAAGAAGGTATATATATATTCTTTAGTATTACTNATTCTTTAGTATTATTTACTTCTTTATATAAGATAAAGTAAGTATACTTTATAAGTTAGTCTACTATAATAAGAATACTATTAAAATATATTCCTATAAGGGGTTTTTATAACTTTAGTAGTTTAATAATAAAGTTAAGAAATATAGATTACTAGGTAGTTTATAGTATAGGTAAAGGTTATAGTATATTATAAAGTTAATATTAAGTAAGTTTACTTTTTAAGTATACTTTATAATCCTTAATTACTTTTACTATATATTCTCTTATAACCTTTTCTCTATATTATTATTATAGTTATTTTTAGGTTTTTATAATTCCTTAATAACTATATATAGAGTGTATATAAAATTCTATAATTACTTTATTATCTAGTTTACTAAGTAGGTTAATATTAAATTATTTAGTTATTATTAAGAGTTTAGTTACTAGTATTAAGTCTCTATTATCTTATTATTTAAGGATTACTTAAGTTTCTTTAGGTATTAAGATATTATAGTCTAATTATTAACTAAGAGTATTTACTCTACTATTATTTAATCCTTTTTAATAGATTATTTAAAAGTTAAATTCTAAGAGGAATTCTAACTATTAAATTTATTATGTATTAAGCACTTTTAAGGTTATAAACCTAAGAATCCTTAGACTTCCTTAAGGTTATTAAGTATTAGCTATTCCTTAATAGCTTTAACTTTATTTTCTAATATATA